ACTAAAGATTCTAAACCACCAGAAGGTCGTCCTCTAGGAGGTAAAATCATCCCAGAGCTCACAAGTATTGACGCCATGAAGAAGGAAACCATAGCTGAAATGGAACATGAGGTCTGTTCATCACAACCTGAGAATTTCACGCGTCTTTTACAGGAAAACATTTTAATCTTTGAGGTGGATGAAGTGTTGTCAGAGGGCGATGACTCTGAAGAAGAAGAGGAAGAAGCATTGAAACGGAGGTTGAATGGTGGAGATGGTAGTGGAGGCGAGGACGATGAAATTGAGCAAGAGTTGGCAATGAAACGAGCTCGATGGGAACGAGAGGGAAACTTTGATGTGCCCGAGGAGACCGCCGAAACCACTGTGGATAGCGATCTAGCGGTTGATGATAGCTTCTGTGAAGACAAATACGACAATGCAGAGAACGGTGGAAAAGATGAACAAGGCCAGGTAGATGATGAGGAAACTCGTGACGTTCCCTACGATGATGAAGAAGATGAAGAGATTGAGGACATGGCTGCATTGATTGAGAGGCAAGTATCACATGAGGGATGACCCAAGAATTTGGTGCCTTTGCGTGCCATTGCTGTAATAATGTCGTTATTATTGCTCAGTTACTTCCAAATCGCGTTTGTCCAGGCTGCATTTGAAGGTATTTTCTGGCCCAGAAAACGGATCATTTTACAAATCTGCTGTGAGCTTTGTTGCAAGCCTTTTCAATTCGTCAGCCGATTTCTGGTCGAATTAGGAAAAAGCACTGCATTGCAGCGAGAATATTTTATGGGCTCAAAATGTTTCAAGTCTTTTATGTACACGTTTCAGAAAACCAAAGGAAATTTTATTTGCTTGAAAGACTTGCTCAAGCTAGGCTTGTTAATATCTCTGGTTTTTCGGGTCGGTTGATGCCTTTTTGTCTCTTTATTTGACTTTGATTTGATTTTTGCTTTTACGCAGTGCTAACTCGGCATTTGACAATCACTAAATTGTTTTTCATTGATGTGAAATCCATGCAAGGTGGACTAATGCTCAGGAGAATTGTTTTATCCCGATTGATTTGCCTTTATTTCAGCAGGTGGTGTTCATATTGACCTCTCCATAATTTCATGTTCACACGCAGCGATATCGTTTGTAAATATCTTCTGTTTTAGTACGCGAGGATACTATATTTATCTGTATGCGTATTGACAGTTGAGTCATTTTGCTTCTAATTTGAATATGACTGGATTTTCCAAAACGAGTTCAAATAAGCGTAGCAGGTTTAGTCCGTTTGTGAATCTGTTTGCTCACGGCCAAAAATGCCCTTTAGAATTCGCGTCATCCTCGGTGTGCTAATTTAGCGTTGCCTTCCTCTTCGCTGTATCACCTTTCAGTTTTCTCTTTCAAAGGTCCGGGGCTCTAGATCCCTCCCATTGAAGTAGCCAAAATGTGTTTTTTATAATGGTTTTTACAAAGTAAATGTTTAGTGTGACGAAAAAGCTCATTTTAAGTGTTCAATTCTTTTCTCCAATTTCACTTCACCAGC